TCCAGGTTCATCCCAGACTGAACATAATTCACAAAAGCTGGGTTTTCTTCACTGTACCTCCTACTCAGTCCTACCTATGTGTAGTCCAGAATGCTTTTAAGGTTTTTAATAACAATTTCATAATTCATGTCTAGTTCAATATATGAATATTTTATTATCAAGTTTTTTATTGCTGTAAAATTGGCAATTGAAAACGGTATTTCTGCATCTCAAGATTTAATTCATGGTACTGCTTTATCTTCTGAAAGCTGGTTTTAAATCTTGTGGGTAAAAAAAATTTACATTTCCAATATAAAAGGATAATAAAATACCTTCACTGTAATTCTTTCTTCTTTATAGAACAAAGTTGAAGAAACTCAAGAAGACTGATTTAGCAGTAAGGATTTTATCAGGCTCAAATATATATTTCATACTAAACTAATGAAACATTTTTACTTCACTGTCAGATGCAAAGATCATAAAACTGTTTTTGATAAAGAAAAATCACACACTTAAAGTTTCAAGCTTTGGAACACTTGGTCTTGTTTTTTTCTGAGTGCAGTTTGTGAAGAGGTATAGGTGTAGCTGATGTAAGGTGGGAGCACTACTGGAGTTCTTTAGCCTGTAATTCAGTTTCTGCGTGGTTAAATGTCTCTGCCAGAGTTCTGCAGTCTGTATTTTGGCATGCATAAAGCTGTGGGGCTGGAGGTACTGAGGAATGTTCCACAAGATTAGGGATAAAAGTTGACCCTGTGAACCTCCTTGTACTAGAAAGTATTACAAAGGAGTGAGTCAGAGCTTTCTCTGAGTTCAAAGTGAGGAGTGCTGGACAAATTCCTCTGATTTATTTGGGCAAGCCTGAAATAGAATGCAATTTTCTACCAGAATTCTCTTCAAGGCTGTTTTCTGCTGTGTACCTTTCAGGAAGGTTATGTTTAGATTTGTTCCGTGTGTATCTTATTAAGAGATGAAAAACGTGTTTTATTATCTGCTCTTTTACTCTGGTATCTCTGAATTTTCAGCCAGGAACTGCATTTAGCTGAGACTTGTGAAACTTGGTTTGAAACTAAAGATGGCTTGCCTTGTTTAAGGTTAATAAAACTAAAAAGTGAGTCTTGGCTTTGAACTGAAAAAAACTACCCTGGATCTTAACAACATAAAGTCACGTTGCTTTCTCCAGCACAAGTAGGTTTAACCACACCAGTGTGTTCTGGCAGCATGTCACTCATTTCTCTGTGGTTAAACTGTCAAAACATGTGTGCTGAAATATTTAGGTTAAAAAGCATAAATTGCAGTCCCTAAAGGCTCATGGCACTGTGTGCATTTCAGCATTGCCTGATTTGGAAGGAAAAACTTTTGTATTTGCCAGCCCATCAAGAACATCAAGGTGATCAAGATGAAAGTTGGTGAAGTTTGAAACCTGGTTTTATTGAACCTAATGGTACTATGGACTGTCTGTGATTTTTATGCACACATGGATTAAAATGCCTCATTCTCTGGCCAGAATGCAGTTTGCAGTGCAGCATCTAGTCTTATTTTCTACTGTTTCTGTTAACACCTGCAGTATAATAGGGAAATAAACTTTGCAAGTCTAAAATCAAATTTTGAAGGGCTGGGAGTTTTTTTTATTGTTTTTGGTTTTGGTTGGTTGGTTGGTTTTGGTTTTGTTTTTTTTTTTTTTCAGAGAAATGAGAGTTTTCCTGCTTTGAAGGCCTCTCCTCATTGTTAACATTTCCAATTTCCATGTAAATAAGTACCACCTCCCCTGAAACCAGTTGCATTATGTTGGTGTAAATGAAACCAGAGCTTTAAAACATGAGTTGTGTTCCTCATAATTCTCTTGATTAGTTTTGAGTCTTTCAGTTGCAATTAGGCATTGAAATGAGCTGTGCATTTTATGAATTTTCTGTGGAGTTATTCATAGTTCAGTATGTTCCAGGATAGATTTTTTTGCAGTGGCAACAGCTAAGTGCAACTCTTGCCATTTCTTTTCAAATCCAGCTATTTAAATTTGAGCTAAATTATTCTTCAGAATACAAGTCAAATTTTAAAATAGAATCTTTGTCTGAAATCACATTGTCAAGCATGTTTCTGCCTTTTTGGGTGTCTTGCACGTTCTCATTCCCCCCCACACACCTGTTCCTGCCAATGGCAGTGGGAAATCCGCTGGACTTTATCCCAGATGTATGGAATGGAGCAGGGCATGGAAGGCTTGCAAAAGTTTTCCTGTTCAGTTTTGAGGGAACTTGACTATTTTAACATACATTTAATTTTTAATTGTACACAGTTCTTTAGGTGTAAGTACAATGACTCGGTAAGTACTCAGAGAACATCATCTTCTCTTCTGTATGGCCTGGCCTGGCTGCAGCCAAAGGTAGTGAAACACATTTATTGGTTCATTTTTAAGGGAAGCCTTGCCCTGTGAAGTTAAAGGAAAGATGGTAAAAATTCGTGCAAGGTGTAAAAATGTTTAGGAGTGGCATGTGGACACTGGCACAGAATGAATGAAGTCATAAACTGCACGTGGTTATATGTGGGTATTGCAGGTTATTTGTGGAAGAAGGTGGAAAAATCCCCAGCAAAGGAACTGGATTTGGATGTCTCCACCAAATTCATCTGGCAGGAAAATTCCCTCATGTCATTGTGTCTGATAAAGCACTGAGTGTTGAACATGAGAGCAGAAGGCACGGAACAGCATCAGGAACAGGACCCTGCTGGAGCAGGCACTGGTGTGCCCACCTTGGAGCCCTGGCTGCAGGAGTGGCCCCAATGTGCTTGTTTTCAAGGAAAAGGGGTGGAAACCAGAGTCTTGGAAACAAAGTTTTGTGTCTAGAGGAGGAAAGGAACAGAAAGTGTGTGCTTCCACAGGTTAATTTGTGGCAAACTGTGGGTCAGGTTTCCCATAAATGAATGGGCAGAGAGCTGGGCTCCCTGTGGCTTCTTGGAGGTACCAGCACATGGACCATGGGCACAATTGCTGGCCTCCAAGCATTCATATCCTTAAGTACTCCCACCTCCAAATCCATGATGTTAAGTTTTAAAGCTGCTCCAGTTACCTCTTGTCAATACTCTGGCTTGAAGATGAGGTAATTGTCCTGGGAGTACTAGTTCTTAACACTTAAAATAGGAACTTGGGGATCTGTGACCTGGTTCTTAAAAAACAAAAATAAAATCTGGTGGTGTCTGTACTGCTTGGGTGTGAATGTACTGCCTGAAATACCTGGCACTGGTAGATGTGACTAAAAAAACCTTTGGGAGTTCATGCCCAAGCTGTCTTCTCCCAGAACTGCCCCCCTGTGCATCCCTGTCACATGTGCCTGTCCGTGTGCCTCCCCTGGGCCCTGCTGCTGCCGTGGTGTTAGCCCCTGCTCCTCTGGTGCTTGCACGGAATTTCCAGCTGTATTCCCAATATTGGGCCTGCCTCACACATCTGCTTGGAAATGCCATGTGCAGCTGTTGTGCTGTTCCCTTGGCAAAGCAGCAAACTTCTTTTTTCTTCTTCTTTTTTTTTTTTTTTTTTTTTTTTTTTAAATCCACACCAAAAGCCAAGAAATCTTTACCAGCTAACGCAGCTTTTGGCCCTGGTGCTGCAGGCAGAAGTCCAGGGATGCTCAGGCCAAATCCCTTCAGCTGGAAGGTATTGTGCTGCTGTTTGTTTTGGAAGCACAGATGCAACTGATTCTTGTGTGAGTCTTCTGGTGTCACCAATTCCCAGGAATGAGATCTTGGCCTTGTGCATGTAAGTGGAAAATATCCATACATTTCAGTGGGATGGGGAGCCCATCCAAGTTCCCTCTGCGAATGGAGCTAGTTAGCAATGCATTACTGTGTGTTCAGGCTGGGATTTGGCTTAGGTGGAAATAAAACAAGTGTTGACTTGTCTGCTAACAGTGGTTTCTGTTGCTTTTTGTGTATCAGTGATGCTTCCAGTGGGATTTAAACACTCCCATTGCCTCCTACTACTGTTGTCTTGTGCTTCCTGAGTTAATTGTCTGATGGCTTACAGCATTGTCAGAATTACACAAACTTATCACATGCTGGATTTTCGATCAAATATTTTGGTAAAAAAAAGATATTTCTGAAAGCGAAAATACCTTTGTTAAAATTGTAATTGTTCTGTTCTGTTAGGAAAGAATTATTCTTCCAAGTCTTGGAAGAGCAAATGAGTCAGCCCAGCACAAAGAGCTTGGCATGTCTATTTTGGTAAGAAAGCACACGGTTTTATGAAGGTGACCGTGCTGGGGGAGGTTTTTGTTTCTTGCACCTGCTCGGCAAAGACACGAGGGCGGCTGGTGGCTCAAGGCTGGCCGGGAGTCCACGGAGGAGCAGGAGGCTTGAGCCGGGAGGAGGAAGGAGCAGGGAGGGATGAGATGGATCTGGGCGAGCTGACTTAACAGCGTTGTTTGGGAAAGGGGTGACAGTGGGTTTGGCTGGGACAGCGGGGGCCCCAAGGGGAAGGGGAAGGGGGAGGCGCCGCTCTGAACCGGCGAGGGGGTGACCCCCGATATGGCCCCGTTGCCTTTGGCGGTGCTGTGCCCGGGATAAGGCGGGAAGCGCCGTTTCCCAGCCGCGGGCAGGTGCGGGCGCGGCGGCGCCGCCCGTGCGGCGGAGCGGAGCGGGCGGGCGGCGGGGGAGGCGCGGCCGCCCCGGGCTCGGGAACACAGCGCGGCCCGAGCGGCGCCCAGGGATGTTTCAACGGGCCGTGAGCCGGCTCAGCAGAAGCGGCCGCCCTCAGGTAAACGGGCGCCGGGCAGCGGGCACGCGCCGGCGCCGGGGGGCTGCGGGGCTCCGGCCACCGCCGCGGCGAGCGCGGGTGCTCCGGCTGTCCTCGGCTGGTCCCCGGGCGGTCCCCGGGCCGCGCCGCCTCCCCCCGGCCCCGCGGAAGCTGCGCCGGAGCCGGAGCGGAGTCCGGCTGCGCGGGCGGGGTGGCGCTCGGCGGGTGCGCGGGGGGACCTGCGCGGACCGTGCCGGGACCGTGCCCGGACCGTGCCGGGAAGGGAGCGGCGCTTCCCGCGGAACAGGGAACTGCGCTCTGCTCGGGCTCCTGCCTCATCAGCCGCTTCTCAGTGCCCAGCTCCTGCGGGCTGCTCTTACTGGGGGCGAGGTAACAGCCCAGAGCTCCAGAGCGCGGAGTCAGGCTGTGAATCGACTTCGAAGAGTTCGCCTTTGGAGGGAGCGTCTGAAGCTGGAATGGAAGTTACCAAGGACTCGCCAGTTCCCTGTGCAGACGGGCGCTGTGCCGTGTCTGTGTGCTCTCTGCCCGCGCTGCTGCCGGTCTGTCCATCCCGAGGCGGTGATGTCTGGTATCAGTCGGGGCTGAAACAACTGGGGTAAAAGTAGAAATCTCCGAATCCTAGAAAATAGTGCTACAGTTTATTACGTGCAGGAAGAAGTTGCAATCTTTCTAAGAAAAGCCAGCTGCGGTGTTTGTCTAGACTTGATTTGGGTTGGGGTTTTTTTGGGGCTCTTTGGTTGTTTTTTTCAAGGATATCTGTCTGGCGAACGCTTCCAGAGATGCTGCAAAAGCGGAACGTCCCTTTAGCTTCCTTCCTTATAGTTAAAAGTGGAATCCAGGAGCCATCTGTTGCTAGAGACAGTCAAAAGAGGATGTTGAGGCTCATGCTCTGAACAACCAAGACATGTGAAGGGCAGCTCTGCTGTAAGGAAAAGGTCTAGAACTCAGCTGCTGCTTGGAAAAAATTGCTATGTGAGGATTCATCTGGTGATGCTTGGATGCATGGAAAGTAAGGGAATTTCCCCCTTTCAGCTGCTTACTTATGAAGTTTGCCACTGTTTCATGCCTTGGATTTATTAATTCTGGACTGGAGATTGTTGCTGGATAGGCTTTCTGCTGAGCATAGGAAAAGACAAGGTATTCAGAGTACTTTTGAAGTAATGATAAAGGTTCATGGCTCGCAGCTTTATGATCCAGGTGAATAAGGGCAGGTGCAGTCAGAAGTTCTTCGAGAAGAAATTGAGATGGCTTTTCTTGTTTTACGTTAATGCTTGAATATAGAATAAGCAACGTGCTGTTTACGTGGTGCTTTTGTCATTTTGACTGCTTGTGTGACATTCGTTTGCAGGGAGTTTGCAGAAGGCGTGTGTGGGAAAGAGAGGGGTGGAACAGGCGTTTGGGAAGGGACGTGCTCCGTGGGATTCCGTGAAGGGTGTGAGTCTGTGCTGCTTGATATGGGCCACGATATCAACAGCTGGAGAGTGGCAGCAGCTTGGGGAACCGTTGCAGTGCTCCTGGAAGGCAGAGCGATCAGCATGTCTAACTCAATTAGCTGGGTCTGAGTCACTCACAGTTGATGGCTTTCCACTGATTTTATTTTTTTTGGTCAAAAACAAGGCCCAAAACTGCGAGTTTTGACCTGCAAAGTTGTCTATGTCGATGTTATTGACGCTTTCTGTGGTTTCAGTCCAAGTTCCTGATTGGAGAATGCAAACATTTGCCATTTTTGATAGCACTCTCCAGCTGATAATTACAGCATTATTAGTGCTGCACTTACCATTCTCACACAAAGAGCCTTTATCCGCAGTCTGGTGCTGCAGGGCTATTGTGTGGTGGGAAGGCAGCTTCTATGAGAGTCTCCTCTGCAATAATGCTCCAGCTAATGTAGCTGCCTGTTTGTTGTCTTAGCATGGAGTCCTCTGAAGTCGGGTGATGTTAAAACAAGCGCTCAGTCAGTTGCTGTGCTGGCTGCTCCCTGCACACCGTGAGAGCAGTTGTGTCTCCAAACCACATTTTCAACTCGGTGGAAAGTTTGTTTCAGCAGAAAACTCTTACAACTGGGCCCTGCCCTGTGTGTGCTTTGCTGGCTTTCTCTGCCTCTTGGTTTCTAACCCCAGTAAACGACAGCAAGCTGTGCTGTGAAATATAATTAGCATATTGCAATGTAAGAAATGTGGTTAATGTATTTATTATCTATTTTGCATCCTGTGTGTTACTTTTACAGAAACACTGGTGGAAGGACTGCCATTTTGTAATAGCCTTTTAGATGCACAAAATTATCTCCCCGTTTTCAGTATCAGCAGATGTCTGCCTTCCTCATTTAAATGACCTTACAAATGTATATATATTGTTAAACATTGGGATCAAGCTTGTTATTTCCAAGCATATATTACCTAACTTTGTCACTAGAGGATTTTTAAAAGGAGAAAGTTATCTTTATAGATACCAAACAGAGTTGAATAGGTTTCAGGAGAATCATTCATGTAACTACACTTATTGGTGTCTTGCCTTTTCAAATAAATCGTTTCAGACTCATTAATTTGTACTTCAGTGGAAGTATAATTTTTAAGGTAATTTAGTAATGTGTTATGGGAGGTGGATTTGGGGATCAGCTTCTGGAGTCATTTGTGGGGAGAACTTCTTTCCTGTCTTTTAAACTCTTTAAAGAAATCTCGAAATCACTCTTCAAATCTGCTGAATGAAACCAGCACGTGGCGTGGGAAGTTATGATCCTAACTGGGGGTGGGGTTGGGTCACTTTTGTTTTAGAATATATGTTGGTGATGGCATATTTAACGGGGTATAATAAAAATACCCAGCAGTTTTAGTGTCCTCATAAAATTTCAGGGTGTTTCCTACTGTCATGTATCATTTATGTCTGTACTGAAGGGGAATGTTAATGTTTTATGGCTGCAGAGGGACACTGAACATGGTGCTCAGCTCAGAGGGAGACTTTGAGCAGTGCCATGCCCAGCACACAGACCTGAGCCCTCCAGAGCTGTTGGCATTTTCTCTGTCCCAGCTTTGGCCCCTGCCAGCTGTGCCACAGCTGTGCCACTGCTGGCAGGGTGGTACCAGCCAGGTGATGTCCTCAGCTGGCTGCTGGGGGGCAGTTTCTGTGGGTTTGGGGGTCTGCTCAGGACAAGGGTGGTGCTGCAGCACCTAAGGCTGTTATTTGGCCCCTTGTGTTTGTTGTGTGCAGGGGGTTTGAGGGTCTGCCTGGTGTCCCCTGCCTCGGTGTGGGCTGAGCCTGGGCTGGGCTGGGGTTGCAGCAGAGCTGCCCAACACCTGAGACATCCCCCAGCCTCTGCTCTGGGAGCTCCCAGCTTCAGTGAGTGAGGCAAGGGGTGAATAGAAGGGTTGCAATGGGCAGACAAGCCTCATTTTGGTAGCCCAGGACTTTCTGGGCTGTGGGGAGCTTGTGAAGTGAGGAAACAAGCGGAGTAACAGAGCCCTGCACAAGGCACAGCAGAAGGACACTGGGAAGAAACCATGCAGGTCTTCCCTTCAAAACCAAATGTTTTTGCTATTAATGCTGTAGGAGGAGAAGGCAGGGAGAAGGGGAGCAGGAACATAAGCAAGAGAAGAGGTTGGATGTTGACAAGGAGGAGCAGGAGGGGAATGTAAACGTAGGGAATAGAGTTGGCTTGTGCTGGGTAGGCTGGAAGTGAGGATGATGATCAGGGAGGACACAGAATAGCCAGCAGTAAAATGAGGGACCAGTGAAAGCAGCTGAGGAGAAGGAGATCAGTGTATCCAGGGTATATGGAGCACTTGTTCTGGCCTTTGCTCACCAGAATTTATATTTTATAGGTTCTCAAGGCCCTGGGTCTGCCCTTTGGTGCGCTGGCTCGTTGAAATACGTGCTTTTCAAAATAATCATTAATGTCCACTGAAGGTTTGGCTGGAACAGAAACGCTAGAAATAAAATCTCATTTCCATGTGTTCTGTTCTAAATCATGTATTAAATAAGGGAATGGCCTGGTTCTTCAGGCCACGAGCAGCTGCACACACAGAGCTGCCCTTCTGCTTGCAGGTGAGCACGACTGTAACAGGAGGTTCAAGCTCCTCAGAGGTTACTGTGTTCTGGTCCAATGTACTTGGCTATTCCCACTTAAATCTCACAGATTTGACTGAGATTAGGAGCCCAGATACTTTGAGTCAGGCTGCTAAAATAAATGTTGCAAGTGATAATCAAGAACCACATCCTTTTGCACAAGGAGGGGGTGGGCAAACCCAGGCAGCTTTAACTGGCTGTGCTCCTGTCACATCTGAGGGCTGCAGGAGTGGCCTGGGGGCAATCCCCTGCCTGTGACTGCTGGCCTTTAGCTCACAGACTGTGCTTCTAGTGCAATAACCCCACTCCTATCACAGGAGAAGGGATGCTCATTCCTTTAGAACAGTGCTCCCTGTCACTTTTAGGAAAAGAGAGACTTCACAGGTCCCTACCAACTCAAACCCGGGAGGCTTTGCTGTCGTGCCAGTGTTGTGCAGGGCTTTAACCTTAGCATTTATTCCAGTTACCAGCTGAAAAGGGCATCTGATAGCACAGCTCTGCACAGATAGTTTTTTGAGATACTTCCTGAGGTTTAGTTTTGTGGTGGAAGAAGGGTTTTTTAACAGAGCTTAAGCAGAAGTTACTATGATCCATATTTCCAAAAAGTTGGTAGAGTGGAATGAAGGAGTTATTAAAATAAATAGAGGCTGTATTGGTTGCAGGAAGGGTTTTGTGCCCCTCTCCAGTGTGTAGTGACCTGAAATGGAGCTCTTATCCTGACTTCCCTGGCCCTGCCCTCCTGCCTTTCCAGGGCATTCTGTGTGTGAGAGGAGAGAAGGCCAAGCACTTTATATCTGTTTTAGAGTTTTTCAGATGAGCAAATCCTTGGAGTCCCTCCAAGTAATAGGTTTTCCAAAGGGTAGACAGCAAAAAATTCTTTTTTTTTCATCACCAGCCTTGAATGCAATGCACTTGTCCCTGGGATAGGGAAAATACAACCTGTGTGCCATCTCTCCTGCCTGTGAGAAGGCAGCTGGCAGAGCAGATGTGGGCACAGCCCAGAGCACCTTATAAAAGGAGAATTTCAGTGGACTTGGAAACCAAGAGAAAACCCACCTCCTTGCCCCAAACCAGGTTGACTCAGCTTCAGTGAGGCTCTTTTGCCAGCTGTCTTTCCTCCCAGTTAGGCTGGGTTAACATCTTGGACTGGTTCTCCTGCTGAACAAAGCATTATTTTTCTTTCTCTCTTTGCTTTTACCCAACCTCCAACCTCCAGTGATGGTTCTTTTCTTAAAAGTAAATGTCACATGTTTGACTGACCAGGAATTGCTTTATAGGAGCCCATGCTGTAGACAGTGTCAGAAAAAGACCAAATGATCCTTTTCTGACACAGGCTGTGGTCATTGTGTTCCACAGGCAGAAGGTGCTTGACCTCCTGTAGAACAGTGACAGTGCTCATGAATTATCTGACTGTAAGGAATTTTTACCTCCTCACAGGCAAAGCAGAATTCAAGTATGTGTGTGTGTGTGTGTGTGTGTTTATCTTCAGTTTTATGGTGTTTCCTTTAAAGACAGCAGCTGTAATCCCAGGGTGCAGGGGGAATGTGGGAGACATCCACTGCCATTTGTGCCATTTCTAAAGAAGGTGGCGTTTCTTTCGATTCTTTTTCTTTTTCCAGAGATAAATGACAGCGAGGGTCACCCAAGCAGCAGCCACCAAACCCTGAAAGGAACCTCAAAATGGGCCACGTCGCTGGAGAACCTCCTCGAGGACCCCGAGGGAGTGAAACGCTTCAGGGTGGCTATATTAGCTATGGGTGTTTCTGCAGAACAGAGTCAGCATTTAAAGCTGCACGAGGCAGGGTGCAGCTGAGCCAGGCTCTGAGCACAGAGATGTGGCTCCTTTGGGCCTGTGCCCTGAGCAGAGGTGGCACTTTGGAGCTGTGCCACCGGCTGAGCTCCTGGGGCAGCGACTTTTGCCCTCTGCCACCACAGCTCCCTCCTGCCAGGCACTGCAGGACTCCTGCCTGCATCTTCCTGATGGGATCTGTCTGCTCCTGACAGTCACTGTGGGATAAACTGCAGTCCTTGAGCCACTGCTCCCTCCTGCCAAGTGTTGTTTATCACTGAGGGCTCAGCTGGGCTCTTTATTCTCATCCATTAAGCAAAGTTACCACTGACAGTCTCTGAGCCTGACCACTCTTAATCTGTGTTTAGCAGCTGCACTGAAAAGTATCCCCTGTCACTTTACTACCAAGCGTGGGCTTGTGCAGCTCCAAGTGGCTTGAGGTTTAATGAGGTGAGGGTGGTGAGTTGGTTTTTCAAGGTTTCTTGCCTTATTACATGTAAGAATAGGAGCTACCCACTTGAAAATGCTACTGATAAAATGCTCTGGGCTAACATGGTGTCCTGGCAGACTGGTTTAACAAGTGATGTAAACTAGAATTACAAAACACTGATTCTGAATTCTTTAAAAAAAAAAAAAAGCCATCTTGGTGCTATTTAATTCTTGGCACTGCTTGATCTCTATTTTCTAACACTTGAAAGAGAAAACTGATGATCTTGGAGCTATAAATGTTTCAGCCATTATGTTTCATAAATAAATTTAATGCTCATTTTTCCCCTTTTAAAGCATGGAGCGATGTGCTGTGTTAAACACTGCAGAGAATGCAGATACATCTTCTACTTTAGTTTACTGAAGTGAATTTATTGCCACTGACAATCATGTTTAGAAGCACTTTTATTTGTAGAGGTTTTACTCATTAAAAAATTTAGAAAGATACCAAATGAGAATCTCAGGTGATCTGTGGCTCTCATTAAAATAGTTCATTATACTCACCAGCTAATGAGCTCATATATTTTTGGATTTCCCTTTGAGTGGTGGCTGTAAAAGTGCTCGAGTTATTTAAGGGAGGCTGAAGAAACTATCCCTGTTAGTTACTGATGTGCTCTGAGATTAAATGGAGCCCATCATCCTCCTGGAATGTGCTTCCAAAATGCAGAATATGTGCTGTTCCTCTGTGTGTTGGTATGTGCAGATGCACCAATGCAGTGGTTCTGTTTCACTGGGTTATGTAAACTCATGGTAAAATTCACTGTAGGCAGCTTCTACTTTTAATAGCTACAGTAGGAAGAGAGAAAAACAGCTGAGGAATTGAATTCTAACATTTGTGTGTTTGTTTTTCTCTTTCCTAGGAGTTTTTAAAGAAGGAATTTAGTGAAGAAAACGTTTTGTTCTGGCTAGCATGTGAAGAATTTAAGAAAACACAGGGAAAAAAACAGGTATGTTTCCTGAATAAAATTTTAGTTGTCAACAAAGTTTACTCAGCAGAGCTGGAGCTAAAACATTCCTGTTGTGTAACGTGCTCTGTGTGGATGCAAATAAATGTGTTTGAAGAAATTGCACTAAAATCATCGCGGTGGAATTGTTTGCAAACAAAGCTGGTTCTATTTCAAATCAAAACAAAATGCTGAAATTGTCAAGTTTCCCATGTTTTGAAACCTCTGAACTTTTAGTAATTGCTTGGGAATAGTAAAAGGTTTATTAATTCAATGATTCATTAGTGATGTTGCATCATCTTGCTTGCAAACATAAAGACATTTCATTCAGGACATTTTTAAAGCATAGCAGCTATTACATGGCAACAAACACCACTGTAATTCTTTAGTGAAACATAAAAATAACACACAGCACAAACAAAAATATTTCACAGTATCAAAATGTAACATTTTGCCTTATGGGATTACAAGTTACAAAACAAATAAAAGCGAGGGCCTGTTTAAATATTTTTTTTTAATTTAAACACATTATCCAAATCAGTACATACCTGCAGACAATTTTCATGAAAGCTGTATCTTTCTAGTAGCAAATACTCTATTGGAAATTTTTTCAGCAGTAAGTTTTTTTCCACTGCTTAGACCTTGGTTTGCATTTAGACCCACCAGAAATACAGGATCCACTTTCAGATTTAGACTTTGAAGCCTATGAAGTCAGGCCTAAAATATTTATCATGTTTTGTTTTTTTCTGAAGAAGTGTTTGTGACTCATTTCTTTTTTTTTTTTTTTTGTTAGTTCTGTTATTTTCTTGAGAAGTTTCAAATTAGTTGTGAATATTTTTTGGTGTTGATAAATTCACACCCCCCCCCAAAAAAAAATAATATATTTTCCAAGAAGAGGAAAACGTTGGGTTTGACTGAGCACTTTGTAACATTTAGTGCTGTTTCAGCTGCTTCCCTCCCTCATTAAAGGTTCACAAATGCAGATGGTCTTCAGAAAAGAACAACTGGTCAGTCTACTTTTCTGTAAGGTCCCATGCCTTGCAGTGGGATAATAATTGTATTTTCCCTTGCTAAATAATTTCCATATTTTTAGCTATTTTAGGATTGCACGTGCCAGGAAATGGTAAAGTGATGTACAGAGATAAGAGCTTAGTGAATCCTTGAATGAATTGCCAAATGAATGGACAGAGACTGAAGTAGGTTATGTTTGGATTAATTATTCAGTACCAATCATTACACAGTACTGCCCAAACTATTTTAACTGGCTGGAATAAATGTGCTTTAGAATGACACAGACTTACAGTGAGTTTTTATAGCTACTGCTTGTGGATGCCTTTGTTTAGATAATTGACAAAGCTGGGAAAAGCACTAAAAATAGAAATATTTCCAGTGTTTATGATAGCATGAAGCCTGAATTTGTCTTCTGAAAGTGACTCTTCTAGAAAGCAGTTTGTGTCTATCTACTGTGAGCAAAGTATCCTAAAAACAAATTTTTACCTGTTTTATAACCTGTTTCTCCTTAAAACTGGTTTACCACAGAAACTAACTCAAAGGCCCTTAGACCTGTGGCCAGATGAAGCTGGTATCAGATAACCCAGACTGGAGTGGGTCCAGAGGAGGCCACGAGGATGCTCAGAGGGCTGGAGCTTCTCTGCTGTGGAATCTGACTGAGAGCTGGGGTTGTTCAGCCTGGAACAAGCTCCAGGGAGGCCTGAGAGCCCCTTCTAGTGACTGAAGGGGCTCCAAGAGAGCTGGAGAGGGACTCAGGACAAGGGCCTGGAGGGACAGGACAAGGGGAAATGGCTTTAAACTGAAAGAGGGCAGGGTTAGATTAGACACAAGGAAGAAATTCTTTACTGTGAGGGTGGTGAGACACTGGAGGTGTTGCCCAGAGAGGTGGCTGCTGCCCTGTCCTTGGAAACACTCAAAGCCAATGCTGGATGGAACTCTGAGCAGCCTCATCGAGTGAAAGGTGTCCCCTGTCCCTGCAGGGGGTGGAAACTAAATGACCTCTAATGTCCTTTCAAACCTAAACCAGTCGATGATTCTATGAATGTTTTTTTTTCCCCCTATTTTATAGTGTAAGATAAACTTTTCATTACTTGACATGAGAGTTCTGGTGTAGGGTTTTTCTTGGTCAGTTTAAACTTGCACAAAGGTACCACTGTTCCAGGGGTGCTCATTGTTACCCTTTCTGTGCCAGCCTGGAGCAGGGTTTGGTTCTGCATGGGCTGCTATTCCAGTAGGATGGTTGGTTGGCTCAGTGACTGTTCTGTCCTTCCCTCATGCTCTTTCTGGTCCTGGCAGGTAGATGCAGGCTCACTCTGCTCCTGCTTTGCTTTGGTAGCAAACTAGCAGCATTACTGCCATTCTAAGGAAATATCCTGGGCCTTTCCTCACGGCTTAATAAGTTTGTTACTCTCACCACAGTCACTTGGGTTCTGCCAGGAGCTGACTTAGGCCAGGCCAACACAGGCAGATCTTATAAGATGTTGTGCAGATACATCTTCTCTGTGCCCTTCCTCTTGACTGAGAGCCTGTGTGCAGCCAGGATCTGCAGCCAGATCCCTTTGGATCATGGGACCAGAGGCAGCACTGGCAGGAATTAGGTCAAGTCCACTTGTAGCAGTGAGCTCTTCTGCCACCCATATGTTCCTCATCATAGGGCACATATTTAATAATTGAGATGGGAGTGGTGGGGATCAGTGAATAACATTTAACTTTAAGTGTTTTATTGGAGTTAGTCATAAGTTGTTGCGTTTGGGACTGTTAATGAAACAAACAGCATGTCATTTGTGCTGCTTCCCGGGGTTTCAATGTTTCTGCTCTTGCAGCTGAGCTTTTAAAATAAATTACAGATTGCAATAAATGCTTCCAGCAACGGGGAATATTTTCAGCTATTGCTAAAGCCCACCAAAATATCCACGTGGAAGTTTTGTAGAGGACGATTTCAGAACAAAGTTACATATTCAGGAGTTCCCTCTGTCTCTTCCCACATGGAATGTAGCAAGGGTTTAGCAGGACTGGGTAATGCTGCACAGCTGCTGTCTGCTGGAGCCTGCTCTGATGAGCATCTGGGGCTTCCATCCACCTCATTTGGGAACCACACTCATGCTTGAGAGCTGAGTTTGACCTTAGGAAAGGAAGTGGGAAATAATATTGTATCCACTTGAAATAGTGAGGGGGATTGCTGCAGACAGAACTTTGTACTCCAAATGGGAATTTGGCACGGATGCTGGGGAGAGCACACAGATGGGAGTGAGAAGTGCCAAAAATCCTTTAACAACCACCTGTGAACAAGATCCCAGTTTAAGAGTACTTTCAGTTCCAGAGCAGAGTCCCCTGTGCTGGGGCATCAGCTTCAGGCTGATGCAGAACAAGGAATGCCCCTGACTGAAGGGGGGCCAACCCTGTCTCCTCCAGCTGAACCTGGCTCTCCCCAAATCACATTTGGGGTGTACATAAACACACTGGCAGCTTTAGCTGTACTTTCTTTTTAAAACAAATCATAAATTGTAGTTACACTGATGCTCTGCTGCTGCAGCACAGACGTGGCACAGCACTTGTTTGCAGCTGAGCCTGTAAGGTTTAGCTCTGCATTTCCATATTTTCCCATTGCTATAAAGCCAGGTCCCCCGTGCCTCTCCAACGGCCCCCTAGCCCTGCCACAGCTCTTTCACTTCCTTTCTTTGTTATTCTTCCTCACAAAATCCAGAGAGCCTCCCTGTTTCACCAGCCTCCCACGCAGCCCTCTGGTTCCCCTGCTCGCTCTTTAAACTTCCTCACAGTCACTTCTAGTTTTGTGTTTCCTCTCCAGCCTTTCTCTGCTCTTTCTCTCCAGTGCCCAGCTTGCTCCTGAGCCCTTGGGCAAGCAGCACCTTGTGCTGTGGCTGCTGTGGAGCTGCATCTGCCTTGAATAGCCAGCAGCTAAGGACACCCTGGCAGTTCGAGCAGAGCAGATAACTTTTGAGCACATACTGCAGCTTTTCCCTGGGTGTGTGTGCTTCTTTTCCTCTCCCTTTATTTCCTCTTTTCCATTGACTCAGTAGGAGGGCAGTTTTTTTCTCAGTCCCTTACCATTCTCTCAAATGTTGTTGGAATTTTGACAGCAGGTTCAAACTTATTTAGGCAGTGCAATCATTTGCTCTTGCAATAATAGCTCAGGCAGCTTTGCTGTGTCTGCACTGGGGCATTAATTTTGCCAGTTAAAGCAGTCGCACCTCTGATTAATGGGACTAATTGCTCATGTAGAACAGATGTGGCTGACCCAGTCCTCCCTGATCTGTGAAACTGGAAAGATTAGAAATTGTTAAAAACAGTTCATTGGGACCTAATGCACCTGACATGTAATGTTCTACCCATCAGATGAATAATCTGTTTTAAAAATACTGGAAAATGTGTGTCCCCTTCAGCAGCGAGAGAGTTAACTCTTTAGGCCTCCTGAATTCTCAAACACATGCAGCTTTTGTTCTAATTATCCCCAAATGCAAATGTATCTCAGCTGTAAGACATGAAAGAAATTCTGTGGCTCCTTCATGGGCAAGGGCTTAAATGCTTCCTTCTTCAAGCCCCCTTCCCATCAAAGACACAGCCCTTTAGCTGGTGTGGGGCTGTGGTCACTCCTCAGAGGTGCTGTGGGGAACACTGAGGAGCACCCCGGGCTCAGGATCACACAGCTCCTCTTTTCAGTGTGCAGAATTTGGACTGTAGCAGGCTCTTGCCTGGCTTGGCTCTTGCTACCCCTCTGGCTTTTTCTCATCCCACCCTCTGGTCAAGGAGGAGCTTGCATTCAGAGGATTGTGAGCACTCACTTACTGCTCTGAAGTGTAAAGGTGCTGGTTGGGTCAAGATGTTATTGCTGTTGCTGGTTTGCCAAGGGAAGAACTCTGAAATCAGGGCAAACACCAACAAACAGCTTTGTGCAAGTCATACCTACCCTTATCAGCTTTCAGAGGCTATTGGGAGCCTTATCTCCAACATTTAGTCAAGTTGTTGGTGTTTTCTTTGCTCATGTAGTCAGTGTGGTAGGTGAGCTGCTCTGAGGTACTAGCTAAAACAAAGCCTGCAGTATGACAAGTTATCTAACAGTGGCACAGATTATACACTACCTTTGCCTAGGTTTGCCTTGCAGTAAGTTCCCACAGTGTTTTTCCTTTGGGTTCCTTGCACATACTGATGATCTGTTAGTAAAAATAGTCTTCTAAGTAGTGAAGACAAGGCCTAGCTGATGGTGCTGAGCAGTTCTGCACTGGATACTCAGATTCAAACACCACAACTTGCTGTAAACAAAGTGCTTCCACTGATGTCAATATAGATGTTTGCCTGCAGAGATGTTTTTCTTCCAATACAGATGAACACACACAGATAAGCTGATCTATGTGTTTTGTTACCCTTTTTTTTTTTTTAATTCAGAACGTGTTTCAGTTTTAGGATGTGGACCTCAAGAAGCGACCTAGATCTGTCTCCAACAACACATTAACCAATACAGAGGTTATCTACACAGCAAATAATGCTTTAAATAAATATGTCCTTTTGCAGATGCAAGAAAAAGCTAAGGAGATTTACATGACCTTCCTGTCCAGTAAAGCTTCCTCCCAGGTCAATGTTGAAGGGCAGTCCCGTTTGAGCGAGACCATCTTAGAGACACCTCACCCCCTCATGTTTCAGAAGCTCCAGGACCAGGTAAACTTATTTTATCCAATAACAGAGTTTCATCAGTTTTTTGTCTGTTTTTAATGCACTCTGCTTTCTGAGCACAAGTTATGGTAGGAAGGTTGGGAATCTGCCTGCTGCTACCCTGCTACGGAGCTGGGTTGGTTCCGTGCTGGTGATGTTAAATGCAGCTGCTCTGAGGTACCACAGGTTTTGGGCCCCATCTAACTGAGGCCAGTTAATTAAGACACTCCATGCAGCCATTCTAATTCCAGCTCAGGACATTCCTGGAAAACTGGGTGAAGTTTTCTCCCAGGTTCCTGTGTGGGTAATTTGAGGCTCCCCCCGCTGAGTAACTCTGTGCCTTGGTTTTCCTGTGTGTTCACTTGTGCTGAGTCACTGCTGGTGTTTGTTTCCACAGTTGCCACTGGTTTCCTTGAGACCTCAAGATTCTTCATTTTGCTTTGTTTTGGTATTTATATTGATATGAACATAACACAATTTTCTGAAAGGCCTCCTCTTCTGTAGCTTGGAGAAGTTGGTATCTGCTTTGCCTTTTCCCAAAGAACTTGGGAGGTCTGGTGGAAATTAGGTGATATTTTGCAGGCATGTCTTTGGGTGGTAAATTTCCTTGATATTTAGCTGATTTTAAAGCTGAAGTTATGAAGTGAGTCATTCTTATCTGCAGCTTTCCAGCACTTGCAGTACTATTTTTAAATCCTGTACCATCCTCAGGACTACCTGCATTTTCCATTTGGCTCTTTCCTTTTGTGGAGAAACAGCACACTGATTTAAACAGTGTTTTCAACCCATTTCAGTCAGGTATTGAACACATTAGTTGGGACTGGCTGGGTCAGCTGAAGGAGTCTGAGGAGCAAAGGCTCTGCTGTCTTTCAAGCAGGTTCCAAGTCATTAGCAGTGGAAATGTCTGAAACTCAATTTCCATGTGAGGAAGCAGAGTTTTTCATGGAAAAACTTCTGGCTGGGGGGGAAGGGAAAAAGAAATGTTCTGGTAAATCTAAGCACTGCAGTTCAGAGTGGGTGATTATGAGAGTGAAGCTGGAGAGACTAGTGGAGTTAGAATATTCTGCAGTTTTACAAATGACATGCACATGGGCAGCCAAGGATTAGTGATACCTGGAAACATGCTGGACCAATGGTAGAGGAATCCCACTAGTGTGGGAAGACAGTCTGGGAACTTTTACAAACAAATGCAGAACGTTTATGGGTCATTGCAGGATTCCACTGCTTGAAGCTACTGTTTACTGCTGTTAGATAATAGTTCAGAAGAGTTATGGTCTTCTCTAGTTTTCAATCCTTATAAAGTTATGAAGAGTGGTGTAATTTGTTCTCTAAAGAACATTCTTAACTACTGCTGGTGCTGTGTGTCTGAAGTGTAGAAAGGCAGGGCTGGAAAGCCCCAGCCTGGTCTGCAGCACTGCTGGGAACCAGCACTTGTGTTCTCCAGAGACCTGCTGGTTTGACTGGTGCTACTGGTGGGCTGTGGGTTTGTGCTCACAGGGTGGCCTTAAACAAATGGCTTGGGGGCAGTTGTTGGTGCTGACTGAAGTGGTGACAGAGTGGTTCATAGAAATCTGTGTTTAAAAATACTTGAAGGGTGAATGTTGCTGCTGCACAAAGGCAATGAGAGGAGGGGAAGGGCAAAAGAGGGCTCTGCTTTTGCACATGATCATAAAATCTGCCTGTTCTGTACACTTGGCTGACCAGGCTGCAGAAGATGTTGATCTTACAGTGCTCTGTCTCTCTGGCAGATGCTTTAAGTGATACCAGGAGCAAGAGAAGTCTAAGTTCTTAACACTGACATGATGTTTTAACAGGCAAGGTCTTCCTTACTATTTTTTCCCTCGAGCTGCTTGGATAAATTTAATTACATTGTAGTTGGCCAGTGCCTGGAGGTGTAATTTGGCTTGGCTTTGTTTAACTGCATTGATTAGGGTCTGCATTGATTAGGGTCTGCATTGATTAGGGTCTGCATTGATTAGGGTCTGCATTGATTAGGGTCTGCACGGAGTGGGTGCTTTGGGATTGTCCATATTCCAATATGTTGCTTATATAACAGCATTTCCACAGCTCTAAACACGAACTTAAATATTTAAATATGCAAATGAACAGTGGTTGGTAAAATCCACCATGTAATTTACTTGTAAGGGAGCTATTTCAGCAAACACACAGACAAGAACAGTCAAGTTTTTGATGTTTGCCTTTATCTGTCCAGGTTCCTCGAGGATGTGGAATGACAAAGCAGTTTAAGGCTGTTTTCTTCCTCCTAGCAAGCAGTTGTCTTACCTGGTTGTGCTCTCAATTAGAAGGGAGACTGTAAAGGTAAAGCTGAAGTTATCCAGGCATGGATTAGCCACACATGCAGGTCAGAATCCAGAAATTTGTCTTGGAAATTGAGTTACTCTGAGTACCACAAAATGTAATCAGTCCTGAAATGTGACTCAGAGAGGCTCCAGTGAAATAATAGGCTGAGGGTGATGTTGGCTTTGGTTTTGCCTCAGTTACAGTCCTGAGGTTAACTTTTTTTTCTTCCACTCTGTTGCAAGACCAGCTTAAATATATAGTGCTGACCTTGACACCTGAACAGTTTCCAGACTCCTCTCCCAAGCCTGTTTTCAGAAAACTCCAAAAGAGCTGTAGCTTTTTTTGTCTGTGGTGGATACAAGTAGAGGAGCAGAAGTAATGCTGAGGGACGAGCCTGAACTCAAGCCCTGGGAGAGAAGAGCTGTGCTTGGTGCTGACTTCATGCTTCCAAGCTGGCCATGAGAAGAGGGGCAGCTCTTGGCCTAGTGTAAAGCATAAAGGCACTACTTTAATCCATTGCCAATTTAAAACCACATTTTATCTGGTAAACTACATCTGCACAGGATCAGCTCTTTGTGGAAGGTACCTGCAACATTTCTGAGCTGGCCTGAGACCAATCTTGATGCAGCAGTCTAAAAAGGATGGGAATACTGGCATAAGTTTAAGAAACCTCAGTCAAACCAGTTGTTTCAGTCTAGGTTCAGTTTGAAGTTTCAGTATTTGTGTAAATTATTTAAAGGCTTTCTGCAAGTATCCATATATATAATGAGTAGTTCTGTAATGTTCAAGAGGAATTGCAGCCAGAAAGGTGCATAAAAGGCCCCTCTCTTTCTTCAGCTCTGCTTTGTCCCTCTGAGTATCTTCCAGACCCCCTCCCAGGAGGACACCCTTGCTGGGCTTCACTCCTGGGAGCTCTGCAGGGCTAAAGCTGCCTCGGGAGGGCACCAGGCACTGCCCTGCTTGTTCTCACCTGTGCTTCTGACCATCCTACAGAGTGACCACGGCATGGGAACTCCCACCTTCACCATTAGGTTTGCAAAGTTGGCTGCTGTGAAAAACATAATCTGATTCTTAAACAAATATGGGTGTTATTGCCAAACAGTGACTGTGGAACCTACAATGTTGTTTGCTATGTGCAGCCCTTTGGAGACTTGGAAGTGTGTATTTTCACTGTGTTGCTTTTTTAGGGGTGCTTTAGCACTGGCAGAACAAAAGTACCCTAGAATTGATGCTGTCCTTCTCATTTAAAAATCTCCTTTTCCTTAGGCCATTGGTTTTGTGTTCTTTTTCCCCTCTCTTCCCAGATATTCAACCTCATGAAATACGACAGCTACAGCCGCTTCCTGAAGTCAGACATATTCCTAAACCATCAGAAGTGTGAGGAGCAAGAGGAGAATTCACCAGAGGCTCAGACTGCAGCCAAAAGAGCATCGAGAATTTACAACACATGATACAACGGGTCTCTTCAGGAGAGGCAACACAGTAATGGAATCACACTCAGGAACAGTCTAGGGTTAGAGCAGCTGCATTTAGGGCTTGGAAAGCTCCAAACCTTTTTAGGAGATTTACCTTCTTAATTGCTTGAATGACTAATTGTTTTTGCATGATAGCTATTAACCAAGCACCCATGGAAAGACTGTTTCCTGGATAAAAGGCTGAGGTGTTCCTCCAGAGCATGACTTGCCATCCATATTTCACAGGTTAAAATGCTTTCAATTCTTGTGTTTTCTTTTGTCACCAGTGATGATGAGAAGTGGGAGACAGGGTGGTTGTTGTTTTATTTTTGCCTTGCAATTTTTATTTGTGACTAGCTTTTACACCCTGAACTGCTGGGAGAAGCTACTGAGGAGTGCATTTCACATTACTTTGTGGATGAGTCATTCATAGCAAATCCAATCACCAAGGGACAGCATCTTTCATATTTAAGTTCAGTAGAATCCAATCCCTTCCTATGTAACTTTCTTTCATGGTGATACCTGTTTAGCTTTGCCTTCATTGTTCAATCAAAATACTTCTCTAGTCATGATTTTAATTTCTGTATTTCCTAATTTCCCCCCCTTTTTTTTTCCTTTTTTTTTTCCCTTTTTTTGGCAGTAGACAATCACTTTCTTCAGAAGGTGGAATAATCTTTATTCCCTTGGGAACAGAAGCCCTAAAATAGACAGAGTCTCTGCAGAACTTCAGACTGCCATTAGGAAACGTGACAGTAAATATCCCACTAGGGCACACTGATTCCAGCAAACCTTCCCTGGGGCATGTCCTGCATGTCAGTGGAACATCAGTGCTGGGAAGCATCTGGTCTCTCCCAGGTCTCCAGGACAATCCTGCTCTTTGCAGCAAGAGCACTTTGGCAAAGGACCAACAAACCAAATCTGGTTTTGTTTTACTAAAATCTCTCCACTGAAGTCACCCTGCCTTCTTTTGTTTGCTCCAGAAAAGTATTTCAGGGTTTTTTTTTTTTCCCCTAATTGTGACTTTTTGGAGAGCTGCAGTGGAACAGGGGGTTGGCATTGGGGTTCAGCCATTCTCACACCAACTTGAGAGGAAGGGGAATTTATTTCTGCCTGGTGCCATGAAAGATGAAATGTCAGGGTGGGTAAAAGAAGACACTCCCCATGAGCTCCCATGTTGTCCTGGGAATGTGTCAGAGCTGCAAAGCACATCTTGGGGCACAGTTTTTCAGGTGTTCAAATATTTTTTTTTTAATTATTTCATTTTCAGTGTTATTGAATTGCAGTTTAAGTTGGGAAAGTGTATTAACCACTCACTCTATTTACAAACCTCTCAGTCTGTAGTTTAGCTGTTTCTCTCATTATTTACTTTCTCATTTTTTTTGCACCACTTGTCTTGAACTTTTGTTTATGTGCTGGCTAATCTCAATGCACAGTTAGCTTTTAAACATTTTATACTTCTTTTTTTGTCAGAAAGGCCAGATATGTTTTGCATGTTACTGTCACCATCAGTGTTCTAAGCTAAATCTAGGCTGCCATTATTGAGAATGCAAACTCACTTTCTAGACTTGATTATTCCTCTTTAACTCTGAGCCACTCTTTCAGGTGATGTACAAAGAAAGTTGTTTCCTTGGGCTTTTCCCTAGTTAGATGTACAAGTGGGAATGGAAGTTCTGATTCTTCCCCCAGAGCTACATGCCCTGCTCGTTTGTAGGAAATCAAAGGAGAGGTCAGTGCCTCCATATGCTTGTTGTAAGGTGTAATTCTTATGCACTGAGTTATTTTTCCTTTTATGCTCTCAAAAGATTTGGTGGTGAAGTCATATTTCTTCAGGCACTTTCTGTGGCATTTGACCTCATGTTTAAGCTGTATTTCAATGTTTTATCAAATAGGGATGAATTAAACACGTGCATGAAGCTATTTTTTTTATTTTTTTTTTTTTTTCTGAGGGGTCCTAGGAAATGGGACCATCCAGTTCTGGACTTGCCAACTCTTTGTAATTTCAGGATTACCTCTTCTGAAAATCCACTGTAATAACGATCTCTTAGTGCCTGCACAGCACAGGATGGAACTTCTGATAGCTTTGAATTCCTTGAGAGTGAGCAGTTTAACCAGCTTAGGAGTTGGGATTTGTCTCTCCCCAGTATTTGCTGCAGAAGTTTTAGTGGTATTGAAAACTTCAGGAGGGGGATCTTCATGGGAAAAATGCAGAATGAGCTCTTACCACATTCATCACATGGATGCACAGCAGATTCATTTTTAATCATATTGATTTAAAAAATGCATGAAAAAGGGAGAAGAGTCTTTGACTATCATGTCTTAAAATAAATATAAAGAATAAAACCAGGAGCTGTATGAACAAAGGTAGGGCATTAAAGAGAGAAAATATTTGTTTGTAGCTGCTTATAAACAACATTTTCCTTGGCACTGTGCTGCCTACCAGGTGCTGTCTTTGCTTGTTAAAAGCAAGTGCCCCATATGAGTAGACACCAAGGTGCTTTACACTATTGCCAGACTAAAGTTACTCAAATGGAAATGTATTTTTAGCAGCATCTCAATACCTGTGATGTTTATTTCAATACCTGTTATGATTCTAATATGCCTAAATCCACAAAATGCTTAATCTTTGAATTGCTCTTTTACCTCAGAGGTAAAAAGTGGATTGCCCCATTGGCTGGCTTGTTTGTGGTATCTGGTTTTGTTTTATTTTCTTTTTTAGAACATCAAGAAGTAGACTTGCAAGGTACAGAAATCAAAGACCTTTTCCTATTCATTAGATTATCTGTATTTTTCAGTAAACAGTAACCAAATTAAAACCTAGCAAGCAGATGTCTGTAATTGCAACTTGTATCTGTGTGGAGAAAGTTATTTTACTTCTGTTGATTTTGTCACTGGCCAAACTTACTTTGGGAAATAGATGACATTTGCTCTATGTGGCATAGAACAAAACACACAGATAGAAAAAGAACTGCTTCCCTACAAGTAAATCCTGCTTTCCAGGAACAACTGTAAGCGTTGCATAAAACCTCAGGCTGTAAGTGGGTGCTCAGTTGCTTTGTGTAGAGATTAAAGATAGGATCTGCTGCTCTTCATAGAACTTACACTGAAGGTATGAGCACAAAAAAAACAAGCTGGAGAAGTTTAGTGCCTGATTGCATGCCTTGAACTCTACCTTGTTTTGTGTTTCTCAGCTAAAAAAATTAAAATACTCTACCAATACACCATATCCGTGTGCTGACAGCTGGTTTGTGTTTTGAACACAGTTTGGGCCAAGATCACTTCATAACCCATAGTTATCCCGTTTTCTGCTCTCAGCCCCCGTTAGCACAGTTGTTCACAGCCTGTCCTGGTGTGTTTTTCTCCTGGAGGACGGGATGACACAGTGGGGCTCACTTCTGAGCCAGCCCTTGCCTGAACAAGTTGCAGAAAGTCCCCTGAGCAGTGAAAGATGCTTCTTGTACCCTCTGTATCTGCCATTTCTTTGTTCCTGCTGCGTTTCTTCCATGGCACTTGCAAACCCATTGATGTGGGGAAGGAGGGGTTGAAAAATCAGAGTGAGGGAAGGAGAGAAAAATACCTGAAAGTTCAGGTTTGGATAACAGTGCTTGTATTTTATTGAAAATTCAGACTTATTTTAAATGGGTAGCATTTGCATCTGGGTTAAAAACTAACTAGGTCTGTGATGCAGAGAGGTCCTATGGTTCCATGGCTGGTTCAAAGCTGAAAAGCAATATATTCTCCCTTTTATAAATTGTTTATAACTATTTTCATCCTAAAACAGGGCAGAAAGTCTTACAAAGTCACCTAGTTGTAACAAATGTCTGCCCCTGCCAAAACAAAAGGGTTGTTTACGTGACAGTGATAATTTCCCCGTCCCAGAGGCAGTTCCTCTTGTTTTACATCCCACACAGCTCATGGCCGAGGGCTTTTTGGCAGAGCCCCAGCTCAAAACGAGCTCTGGGGCATCCTTTACCCCAAGAATCTGTGGGACTTTGCTGCCACACAAGTGCTCAGCAGCTGCAGCCCCAATTCCGATCCCTCCAGTTTAGGAGCTTGGCTATAATGAAGTGAAAGATGCTTTTCATCAGGGCTATTATATCTCGATCAAAGCGCAAATCCGCTGCAGCCAGGAGTTAAAGAGCGCCCGGTTCGGAGGGGCTGGGGAGGGTGGGGGAGCAAGCAGGGAAAGGCAGCCCATGGAGAGGAATGGAACGATCGCCAAATTTAAGAGCACCCTCTCCCGGCTCTCGGCAGAATAACGCGGCACTGGGCTCGGGGGAAGACTCCTGCGAAAGGCGAGGGGCTTGGCGACCCTTCTGCTGAGTGCCGCCGCTCTCACACGCTCCTTCTGCCGCACCGACCTCCTGCCTCGGCTTTGCCAGAGGTGACCCACCTAAAAATCCGCATCCTGCCTGCCTGCATCCCCCCGTTACCTGCCTGCATCCCCCCGTGACCTGCCTGCATCCCCGGGTTACTCTCGGGCTCTGTAAATCCTGTCTCACCTTACAGAAAAATCGGCAAACCAGCAAGAAAGGTTGGCTGAGAAGAGCAGTGCAGGGCAGGGGGAGCGTTGCCCCCTGCTCTTTGTTTGCTTTGCCATCCCAATTTGGAGCGGAATCCGGCAGTTCGTTTCCGCCCCAGAGCACGGCTGCGGCAGCCTCTCGGTGCGTGTTTCCCCAAAGGAATCCCAGGATTGTCTGTGAGCTCTGCTGCCCGGCCAGACCCCTCATCCCGGGGGACATCGTGGTGGGCAGCGGGGCTTCGACAGGATGATGTGCCAGGCTGCAGTTCAGCTGGCAGGAGCTGAGCTAAAGCTGTCAGCAAATGTGGTTTTCATCAGGCCTATCTGAGCTGCCCGTGGGATATGGCTGCTTGTGAGCATTTGATTAGATAGATTTCGAGTGTTTTTCCATGTCATGAGTAAGAGGAGGTGGGAACTTGGAATATTTGAACAAGTTATGCTAACAATCCCAGCACCAAAGCTCTCCCAGAATTACAAAAAGCACACTAACTTGGAGGCAAGTTAAAACCATTCAGGTTCTTTTTCCAAGCTACAGTAGGGAAACAGCTGAACACAAATTTTTCTCAGTTCCTGTTCTGTATTTACTGATTTCACAGTTTTTCCACAGTTTGAATGCTAGGTTTAGACATTCTTTCACATCCACAGCACCCACGACATAAACACGTCCTTTTTGCATGCCTGAAGTGCCACAGAGATGGATCTGACAGTGAAGAGTGTAGAGGACAAGCTTGATGCCCCTTAGTCTGCAAAGAGATACCAAATGATATGAAACCCCAAAAACTGAAGGACAGAAGGTAACACTGCCACAGCTTTCACTGAGACTGAGAAGCTCAGCATGTGGTGAAACCCCAGGGGCAGAGTTTTGGTGCCAATCACTCCCTGAATGAATGGGAAATCCACCTCTGGTGCTTTTCTTGCAGTGTTCAGTCAGCCACTGTTAAAAACTATCCTTAACATCCTGACCAGGCTTCTTGGAAAATCCTCAGGCCTAGAGGAGACCTCTTGGACACTAAAATGACCATCTACCACATAATGAAGATAATTGGGCTCACAGAACATCTCCGACTGCTGCTCACTCCACATCTTAGGCACCACTTCTCCTTGAGGAAGTATGGCATTACCAGGGCTTTTTTAGAGCAAAGCTTTTATCCTGAAGCCAGCAGACTGCGAGCTGGGTGTTTTATCCTTTCATCCCTTTTCCCCACCCACTTCCTTTTCTGCTGCAGAGAAATGAGTGAACTCTTTGTGATCTCTGCTTTCCGAAGGTTCCACAGCCCAAGCTGCTCCGCAGATTATCACTGGCATCCCAGCTACCAGATGGCTGGGAGAGACAGCAGTGCTGCAGGGAATTAAGTCAATTATTCCCATTTCAGGATTGGTCCTGTTCGCTGCGTTATGTAGCTTTTTAAGCATTTTCCATCCACTCAGACGAATATTTGTGTATCATTTACGGAACAGGAACGAAATCTCTCTCTGAACCAAAATTTCCAACCTCAGGGCTGCTTGTTATTTTTGGAGTCGCCATTAGGCCTCGGGCAAAGGCTTAAGGGAAATCCCATCCTCTGTAGTTGGGCCAATAACACTGTAAACTTAAAGATGGACTGTCTTTTTCTGAGCTCAAGATTAGGCAACGACCCAGCCTCTCGCTGAGCCAGTAGCAGCAGTCAGAAAAACCACTGAGTGTGGCAATTCTTTTGGTAAGTGTCTGTGTTTGTTATTTTGACTCTTTGCTCTGGTTTGCTAAAAATTCCCTTTCATGTGCAAGTGTGGAATGTTCTTCTGTGACAGGAGAGCTGCCAAAACCTGAATCAGTCTTTTTTTGTTTCTTCTTCTTTCATTTTTGCCCCCACTTCAGAAGAGAGGCTTCAAGTTAGAAAAAAAAAAAGAGAACTGGGAAGTGCTGAGGCTTTCCAGGGCTCAGCACTTTCAAAGAGGGATGCCCAAGGACACCACTGACCCCCACTGGATGTGGGTGGAAGGGAAAGCTGCACAGCTGAGTGCTACCAAGAGTAGCCCCTGTTCAAGGTAATGGTGTTAAGGGTCAGCTGTCCTTGTGTGCATAACTGAAATCCCAACTAAGCTCTCAAACTGGGTAGGAAGAGAGGGTGGAAAATCAGTCTATATACCAAAATAGTATATTTTGGTGTGCTAAATAAAAATTGAGATAGCTATGGCAGTGACCAAAGTGACACAGATGAAGAAGAGCATTAGTCTGCATTCAGGGTAATTCCAGTTTTGTCCCATGTGAAATGACTGGTGGGGCCAAGTGTGGTAGGGGAGGGGAGTTTCAAGCTACACCTTGAAAACCATTATTCACCTCACTGCTGTTTCTTAATTTGCCTGTGGGTGGGTTCAGCTGGGAACTAAGGTCTCCAAAATCATGAGATGCGCGTGTCCTGACAATTTTAATTTCACTGGTGTGGCAGCAATCTCATATTAAGCAGCATTTTGCTTTAAGGCACATCTTGCTTCACCAGGTTGGAAGATTTATTGGCATCTGGACTACAGCAGAGTGAAGCACCTGCTTCCCAGAGGATGTGCAGACATCACACCCACCCTTCCTTTGCTCTTTGTGGTCTTCACGTTGCTCCTTCAGCCTTCCATTTTGTGCAGGTATAACCCACACCAGGATTATTCCTTTTTTCCTCCCCTTCATATTCTCCTTTAAAGCTTGTAAGTACAGTGGGCAGGGGTGGTTGTACCTCTGGAGGGCTGATGGATCACAAGCCCCCCTAAACACCTTATAAAATCACCAATTTTCAACACAGGAAAAAAGACAGTGATGGGAAAGAAAAGTAATGGTTACTGAGCTCAAAAAAGGCAAAATCACAGCACATAGTATGTTGAGCACCACTGGTTTCCTTTGAAAAGCATGTTAACTTGTTACAACATGTAAGTTGTTCCATAAAGTGTTCCATGATTATTTTTTTTTCCCTAGCACTTGGATGTATTACACAGTTCTGGTGCACCTCTGCAGCAGCCAGCAGTGTGGATTTTGGTAGCCATCCTCAGGCTTACAAAACAGGCACAGGGCAACGTGGGGCACTAACAGGGGCACGTAGGAGAAAGCTGGTGGGAGGATGGGTCAGATCCTTGGGGCTGGTAACGAGAAGAGAGCTGCTTTAAAAACAAAACCATTGTTTGATTTTAGTTTTTGCCAGTGAGACTGCAAAACAAGGTTTCAGTTTATTCCTGATGTAGATGGAGCTATGGCAAAAGTACATCTGCCATGGCTCATCTAGGGGTGCTTTGCAAACACATGTTCCACCGAGGTTCCAACCCCATTTATTTCTACAGATAACAGCATTAATTTAAAAGTGATTTGGTCAGGTCACAGCTTTTGCATCTGCTGCAGGTTCATTAAATTAACACCACTAATAGATTTGCTTTTTGGGGACCTGTCTTAGATGCCTGTTTGAACTGACAGAAGCCAGAGATACAATCTCCGCAACGAAATTAATGCTGGGAATTTCAGAGGCTTAATCAGCACCTAAAACTGCTGCTGGGGCCAGAGGTAACCTTTTTCTAAATGCTCTCCTCACCCTGCTGCAGGATGGAGCTCTGGTGTCCTCATGGACATGGACCTGTTGGAGTCCAGGGGAGGCTACAGAGATGCTCAGGGGGCTGGGGCACCTCTGCTGTGAGGGAAGGCTGAGGGAATTGGGGTTATTAGTCGAGAACAGAAACCTCTGGGGAGACTTTAG